TCTGTGGCTCTGTTCTTGTGCCAGTACGAAATTGTCTTGATTACTGTGGCTTTGTAGTAGAGCTTGAAGTTGGGGAGTGAGATCCCCCCTACTTTATTCTTCTTTCTCAGGATTGCTTTGGCTATTAGGGGTCTTTGGTGTTTCCATATGAATTTTTGAATTATTTGTTCCAGTTCGTTGAAGAATATTCCTGGTAGTTGTTTTGTTTTTTTGTTTTTTAATTCTGATATTTGTGATTGTTGTTGCCGTGTAACTTGCTCTACAGCATCTGTTAATGGAGATGTGTCTTGTTTAGCCAGAGCTTCTCTAGGAACTGTATGACTCTTCCTTTCTTTGTTGACTGACATTCTTCTGTGCATCTTTTCCCCTTTTTGGTTTACCTTTACTCCTTTGCTAGGAACACTGGCCAGGTGCTAACGGAGTGGGGTTCCCGGGCCCGCGCTCTGCGCCCCAACAGCACGGCTGGGTGAGCGCGCCATCCAGCGACGGGAAGGGCGCACCTGAGGAAAGGCTTCCCCTCGCAGACAGGTCTGCCGCCCCCTGCCCGCCACACTGCTCCCTCCGGGGCCTACCCGCGGCCCGGCTTCCCGCTTGCTGACCCACCTGGCTCCGGCCACAGGGCCCTTCGACGGCTCTGGTTCGTGTTCTTCCACGATGGGGCCGCTGAGTGCGGGATCGGGGGGCGGCGCTGACCCACAACTGCTGAGGTGGCGGCCTCGCGCCCCCCGGATTCCCCGCGCCCGCCAGCACCCGCCCCACGGCCGAGCCCTCGGCGCACTTGCTCATGCCTCCCTGCAGTTCTCCGGCCTGGAGGTGCCGGGCATTGTGTCGGGGGCAGGTGGGGACCCGCGGGGAGGCCCCTGCATCTTTTATATGTCCCATTTTCTTGGCTATTTTGGTAAATGTTCCATGTGTACTTTGAAAAGAATGTGTGTTCTGCTGTTGTTGGATGTCAAATGTTACAAATGTTAGTTAGGGCCAGTTAGGTGATAGTCTTGTTCAAATCTTTTATATCTCTACTGTTTTTATGTCTACTTCTTGTATGAACAGCTGGGAGAGGTCTTAAAATTTTCAAATATGATTGTGGACTTGTCTGTTTCTCCCTTTAGTTCTTTCAGTTTCTTTTATTTTTGAATCCCTAAATTGCTAGGCATACATGCATTTAGGATTATTATGTCTTCCTGAGGAACTGGTTCTTTTATCACTACAAAATTGACCTTTTAATTTTCAGTAATGTTCCTTGTCCTGAAGTCTTTCTCTGTTTGTAGAGACAGACACATTTTCCTAAGCTTTCTTTGCTTAGTACTTCCATGATATATCTTTTACCATCCTTTCACTTTTAATCTTTGTATTTATAAGTAAAGTCTTATTTCTTCTAAATGATATGTAGTTGAATCTTGCCTTTTCATTGAATAGTCTGAAAATCTCTCCATCTTAATTGGTGTATTTAGTCCATTTTCATTTAATATAATTATCTACATGGTTGGATTTAAGTCCACCATGGTAATTTTTTACTTTCTGTTGGTTTCATCTGTTCTTTCTCTATTCCTCTTTTCATTGTTATTTTGGGTGAATGGGCTTTTTTACTTTTGTTTTGTATTCTGTTCTAGTCTATCTTGTGTGTTGACTTTTCGGTCTCTTTCTGTGTATGTTTTTAACTGTGTCTGTCCAAAGCTCTGCTGGTTTCTCCTCCTTGCAGTTGCTTTCTTCCTCCTAATCTGAGCCTGGTTCTTACTCAGCCAACGCCCAGACTCAGAAAATGCTCCCAGAGAAGAAAGCAGCTCCTGATTTCAGTTCTTCTTTGAAGGACTCTTCCTTTTCTGTAATTTTAGTTTGTCTTAATTTCTTTGCTTCTACAGCTCTCCAATTATTATTATTCTTATTTAATTTATCAAATGTACATCACAGTGGTTCAACAGTCCCCCTCTCCCTCCCCCTGCCCCTGCCTATTCCTCACCCCCTTGGTAACCACTAGTCACTTCTCAGTGTCTATGAGTTGAATGGTGTTTTGTTCCTTCTGCTTTGTTTTGTTTTTATATTCCACAAATAAGTGAAATCATATGTTTTTCTCTATCTGGCTTATTTCACTGAGCATAATACCCTCTAGATCCATCCATGTTGTTGCAAATGGCAGGATTTCATTTTTTATGGTGGAATAGTATTCCACTGCATATATGTACCACCTGTTCTTTATCCATTCATCTATTGATGGACACTTAGGTTGCTTCCATGTCTTGGTTATTGCATACAGTGCGATGATAAACATAGGGGTGCATTTATCTTTTCAAGTCAGGGTTTTTGTTTTCTTTGGGTAAATTCCTAGGGGTGGAATTACTGGGTCAAGTGGTTATTTCTATTTTTAGTTTTTTGTGGAACCTCCATTCTGCTTTCTACAGCAGCTGCACCAATTTGTACTCCCATCAACACTGTCAGAGGGTTCCCCTTCTCTTTGGGATGTTGGCTGTTCTAACTGGTGTGAGGTCATATCTCACTGTGGTTTTAATTTGCATTTCCCTGATGATTAGTGAAGTGGAGCATCTTTCATGTGCCTGTTGGTCATTTGTATTTCTTTGGAGAAGTGTCTGCTCAGGTCTTCTGCCCATTTTTTGATTGGGTTATTTGTTTTGGGGGTGTTGAGGCATATGATTTCTTTATGTATTTTGGATGTTAACCCCTTATCAGATGAGTCATTTATGAATATATTCTCCCATACTGTAAGATGCCTTTTTGTTCTACAGATGGTGTCCTTTGCTGTACAGAAGCTTGCTTTTTAGTTTGGTGAAGTCTCACTTGTTCATTTTTTATTTTGTTTCCCTCCAATTATTTTTTAAAATATTTGTAACATATCTGTTTAGTTTTTCTTAATTAAAAAAACATTCTGCAGCAGGGGAATAGCCTGCAACTAACTCACTGCACCCTGCCCAGGAGGATTTCATGTCTCACTCTTCTCACTACCTGCTTTCTACCCGAGCCCCTGTTCTTCCCCAGCCCCATCCCTAACCTCACATTTGATGGACACCTGATCATTTTGTGCCATTGCTATTTTATACATGAACTACTTGAAGCCTGACTGAGAATCACTTGGTCATTGCCGCAGTACTCTATTTCGGCCTCCGTGTGGGGCCAAATGCTTTAGGCCTGAGCTCTAAGTATATACTATGGCTAGTGTCCGATTCCTCCAGGTATTTGTAGAGTAGCCAGCATAATGCCTGGCATATGGTAGGCATCAACAGGTGTAGGCCAGGGGCAAGGGACTGTTGGCTGAGGGTGGAGGATGAGGGACAGAGGGTTCAGAGGAAGGGGAAGCTCTGTCATTGCTACTGAGCTGGATCTGTTAAATTGCAGGGACATTTGGCCTGAATGTTTGGAAAAGGCTGCAGGATGTCCAGATGGTTAGTGTCTATGATCTAAGAAAAAGCGTAAAGGAGGATGACGACTCCATAGATGCTTCCCAGGCCTTCACTGAGCTGCAGTGAGTTATCACGGCCCACCTGGTCTCCTCTGGCCCAGGGAAGGGGATGCTGGGCATTTCCCCAAGTCCCAGGCAGCCTTACTTGGAGAGTGCTGGGCACACTCGGTGGGGGGCGGGGGGTGCTCAGAAGGCCAAAGATTTGGGACCTGCAAGCACATTTGACTCCACAGGTGTCAGCGGTGGCCTAAGAGCTCTGTTCTAACCCAGCAAAGCTGAAAGACTCAGAAGTACAAACCAGTGGAAAATATCAAAACCCAAGTCCCTTCCCCAGAACCAGGTTCAGATTTGTTCAGGCTGGTTCCCGGCAGAGGTTAATTCTATGTGGCCAGAGTTCCCTGGGAGGATAGACACTCATGTTATTTCCCTGTTTCATGGGGAAGGCAGGCTGCTTGCTTTGGAAGCCTTCTCTTCATTTTTTTCCTCCATCCATGTTCCACCATATTTCTGACCAAGTCTTGGACAATTTTGGATCCTTCAAAAAATATTTATTGAGGTCCTGATGACTGCCAGGCCCTGTGTTAGGTTCTAGAAATCCAGTCAGATATGAGTCCTGCCTTAGGCAACTCACAGTCCATTTGGAGAGATGGATATGCAAGCTCGTGGCTGCAGTTCTATGTGGTAAGTAGCAGGACTGTTAAGAACAGGGATAGCTTAGAGGAAAAATCTCCTGATTGGGTGGATCAAGTAAAAGGAAGGTTTCATAGAAGAATAGATTTTGGAGTTGTGTTTTGAATATAAGTAGGAGTTTTCCAGGCACTTCCAAGAGTCCTTGTGGCTCCTATACTCCTGGGAAGGCATAAGTCTTATCTGTTGGGGGGGATATCAAGGCAGAGGCAGGGCTTCCCTAGGAGGGAGAGGTTGTTTATGTATTCCACAGGGGGAGGTCCAGGTAAGGTCAGGATGGGGTGCCAGGTCTCCATGGAGGAGAGCACAGGGTGGTGGGGAAGGTGGCAGGACTTGGTGGGAGCCAGTTTAATCTGGGCTTTAATAATGTTAATTGAACATGGCTAATTGACCAGGCCTGGGCAATATGGCCTCAGGGAGGGATGAGAAGCTTGGAAAGGCCCAGGCCCAGGAGGGAGGCATGGGCCAAGCTGCGGAGGCTAGCCCTGCTGTCCCTGTGGGCCGGAGAGCGCTCCCCAGAAGACACTGAGAACAGCTGGTGCAAGTGGGAGTCCAAGGGCAAGCAGGTGAGGCTGGGGGTGTAGAGGGGCCCCCAGCACCTCAAGCCTGAGCCCTCACTGTTGCCCTTGACTCCTGCAGGTGAGCCAAGTCCTGGGAGCAGCGTACACATCCAAGCGGCAGCCTCCAAGTCCCAAACTCCTGTTCACCAATGTGCAGTACGGCTGGGTGAAGAACCAGGTGAGGCGGGGCGGGGCTGTCTCCTCGAGATGCTGGGGCTGGAGGCCGGGGATCCCGCCTCCATCGGTGACCACTCGTGCCCACCCGGCCCTCCAGTGGGGCTGTGGGGAACATCGGGCCTTTCACAGGATTCTGGGCCACAGACAGTTCTGGGATAAAGCTGGTCTGGCTGGTTTGTCTGCCAAGGCCCTGGTTGAGGCCATGGATGTGGCTTTTGACCTTGAGGGCAAGCCTCACTGGTCCCTTGTTGGAGGTCGTCTGGGCCTGGCGCTCCCACAGCCTCCAAAGCATTGCCTGAGTGTGTGGTTTTGGTTTATCAGTGTGTTTACTGCTCATGTCTGCATACGGCCGGTTGCTCCTGTGTGGGTACAGGGTCTCATGGTGGCAGGGAAATGATCAGGAGGAGACAGAGGGCATGGAGGGGGTTTTCTTGGAAAGAAGGAAAAGGAGCCAGGGACTCTGGAAAGGCAGCCTCAAGCCCCATCATGCCTCTTCCTTGGCAGATCCCAGCCGTTCCCTCCTCGAGTGCCATGAGGCACTGTGGGGGCTCCCTCTCTCTGTGTTGGGGTCTCAGCATTAAGTGAGACAGCTCCTCTGTGCTTGCTGGGGAGAGGTCAGTGTGAAGAGGGAGATGCGCCCAGAGCCAGCCTGGCAGGCGGTGAGAGCACATCTGGGAAGTAGCTGGTACCTGGGCCTCCTCCTAAGACAGGGACAGTCCAGTGCCCACCCCTCAGGCTGCTGCTATACCAAGAGAAGGGCAGGTTTGGTCATCAGTGACAACCGTGGCCCTCCAGAGACTTCTTCTGCATGGAAGTGTCAGGCCCGTCCTCCTGGGGCCTCCCTCTTGGTCCTGCTGCCCCTGCACTCCCCTCTCTGTTCCCCACAGATCGCACCTCAGATCCAGCAAACGCTGCATTTCAATGAACTGGCACCCACCCACCCGCCTGACTTGATGAAGCACAAGGTGCTAGAGCAGCAGGGCCGGCTCCTCCACCTGGAGACCCACACCTTCCAGAAGGACCTGGATCCTGATAGGGAGACGGCACCCAGCACCATGGCCAGCACGCCCACTGCCTCCTCCACTTACACCTCGTTGTCTCCG